CAGGTCACCAGCCCCACATCAGGTGACCCACAGCCGTCTGTGCTAATCCAGAGGACCCAAGTTCAGGTCCCAGCCCCACACCAGGTGACCCACAGCCGTCTGCTCCTGCCCTAGAGGATCTAATACCTCTGGCCTATGTAGGCACCTGTACTCATGCACACACAACACAACCACACACACTTAATAATCAAGATAAATTTTAAAAATCTTTAAAAATAGTCAGGTATAGTGGTACAGGCCTTTAATTGCAGTACTCGGGAGGCAGAGGCAGGTGGATCTCTGTGAGTATGAGGTCAGCTTGGTCTACAAAGCAAGTTTCAGGTCAGCCAGAGATGATACATAGTGAGTTCCTGTCTCAGATAAATAAATGGGCCGCCTCTCGGGAGTTAGAGAGGCTGCAGTAACCAGCAGCATGAAGAGGTGTGTGGGGTTGATGCTAATGTGAGTAAGCCTTGGGGTGCTCTCTGCCTCAGTGGGGGATCAGGACAAACTTCCAGACATTGAGGGCCAGGAAGGGAGGCAGAATGTGTTGAAGGAAGTCTGAGGAGGCCCTTGCAGGACGGGTTCAAGCTGAGCCAGGAGGTCTAGCTGGATTGGAGCAGTTCAAGATGGAGGGTGGTTTCAGACCAAGAAAGCTTTTTAGGGAACTGAAAGTCCATTGCTGTGACCAGAGGGTGGTGACCTGGTGGGGCTCTGATGGCAAGGGAATTGAGGTTGAAGCTCCCGACTGACCTGAGCAGGAGACTGGGGGCTGAGATGGGTGTGGAGAGGTTACTCCCGGGAGCGAATGTTCTGAGGTCAAGACCTCTCAGCTTGAGGGAGAAGTGAATGGCAGGGCGTGGTGTGCTGCCCCCACAGCTAATCCAATCCAGACAGGCTAGCCCCTGAGCCAGGGAGGCTGGTCTGAGAGTACACACTGGGGTGACCCGGAAGAGGGGCTAGCAGTATTGTCAAATGAGTTAAAAGTTAGGCCCCGAGGGCTGGATGGTAGGCTTAGGGGTCTTGCAGAGGACCTGGGTTCGGTTCCCAGCACCATCACAGTTCATAACTTCAGTTCCAAGGGATCTTCAGGCCAACTGACACCCTCTTCCGACCTCTGCAAATACTGAGCGCCCACACACTGCTCATACAGACATGCAGGAAAAGCACTCAAATAACATAAAAGAAATCTAAAATATTTGCAAAAATAACCGGGCTCTAGAGACATAGAATGGGGCAAGGTGGAGCCAGACTTGACCCTTCCAGGATAAAATTCTTCAAGCTTGCCGGGCGGTGGTGGCGCACGCCTTTAATCCCAGCACTCGGGAGGCAGAGGCAGGCGGATCTCTGTGAGTTCGAGACCAGCCTGGTCTACAAGAGCTAGTTCCAGGGCAGGCTCCAAAACCACAGAGAAACCCTGTCTCGAAAAAACCAAAAAAAAAAAAAAAAAAAAAAAATTCTTCAAGCTCTGTGAAGAGCATTGCTGGCTCTAGGTCTAGGATTCTGTCAGGTAGGAGGGTGCCCCCTTCTGGCCAGAGGCTAGATGCCGACTCGGGATAGCCTAGCTCCTGATGAGACTTCTCTGTCACTCAGGGGCACTAGCAGTGATGGAAGTGCCAGCGCTAAGCAACAGGAGCCAGATGACCTGAGGGGCTCTTTGAAGGGATGGGAAAGAGGTAGAAGATAGGGCCCCGGCTATGTCTTTCCAAACCTTTTGCCTCTGACCCTAAAAGAACGATCAACTCAGCGCCCCCGAAGGAGCGTTTGGAGGCAGAGAGGTGGGTGGGCCCAGGCCCACAGATGTTGGTGAAGGCATGCTTTTTCCTTGAGGAAGCCTTTACCCTGAAGGAGGTGCTTGTGAGACTGGAGGAGTAGCTGGGTAGCTGTGTCTGAGAGGAAGGATTCTCTCTCCCTGTGTGTGAGAGACTGTGGTTATCTGCACTGACTGGGGGACTGTTGGAAACCCAGCCCAGCCCTCAGCGGACTCTTTCCACAGGAAGGCCCAAGCCCTGACTCCAGCCTTGACTCAGGCCCACGCACAGCCGCAGCCCCGCAGCAACCTTCTGGTGAGTGGTGAGCCGGCTTAGCTGATCACAGATCCTTCTGGGGGACTTCCTGGGGGCTTCTGCTAGCTGGAAGAACCCAGCCTGGTGTCTCTCTGCAGGTGGGAGCCCTCCTTCAGAGGAGTCACCCCCTAGTCCAGGGGACGAGGCTGGCCTGGTAAGGAGGACCAGGTGGGTGGAACTGTCATGGTATTTTCTGAGCAAGGCCTGTGATGAGCTCACCTGTCCTCCGCCTTACCCCCTCCTCTCCCAGCAACGGTTCCAGGACACAAGTCAGTACGTGTGTGCGGAGCTCCAGGCCCTGGAGCAGGAGCAGAGGCAGATAGATGGGCGGGCCGCTGAGGTGGAGAAACAGCTGAGGAGCCTTATGGAATCAGGTGGGACAGGCATTTGGGAGGCGGCACAGCTCGAATCCCTTTGGTGGCTGGAAGAAGGTTTCTGAGATGCCACTAGGGAAAGAGAAACCCCTTCCCCGAGCCCCGACAGAAGGCAGCTCTGGTGACTGTCCTGACCTGATTCAGGTGCCAACAGGCTGCAGGAGGAGGTGCTGATCGAGGAGTGGTTCACCCTGGTCAACAAGAAGAACGCACTCATCCGGAGGCAGGACCAGCTGCAGCTGCTGTGAGTGAGTCTTCCTCCTTAGGCCCTCCTCCTCTGATGGCCCCGCCCACCCGCTGCTGAGTCTTCCTCTTTAGGCCCTCCTCCTCTGCTGGCCCGCCCACCAGCAGGCCCTTCGATTTGATTCTAGCTTTACAGTAAGGAAAATGGGCTCAGAGAAATTTGAGCAGGCTAAGTGGGGTGACAAGCCACTCTCCCCATCATTGCCTTTACCATCCTGCGTGCCAGAGGCAGCTTTGCTTCCCTTTTGCGTTTGGAATCGTTTCCCCAGACAATGTTAGCTTTCTTTTTCAATCAAATAATCCTTTTAGGGTTTTTTTTTTTTTTTGTATAAAAGTGGGATGTGGAAAAGGAGCAACATGCATATCTAGAGAGAACTCTGCATGGGCACCGGAGCAGCACTGGGGTTCTCCCAGCCCTCCGTGGAAACTGATAGGTAGAGATGAAGTGGTCACAGCCTTTGACTCTCCCATCCCACTTTGTCTGACTTGGCACCTTTCCCCATCAGCATCGAGGAACAGGACTTGGAGCGGAGGTTTGAACTGCTGAGCCGGGAGCTGCGGGCCATGTTGGCCATTGAAGGTAGGAAATGGAACAGCAGAGGCCGGAGATAGAACAGGGCCAGGGTGGGCACCCCTCCTGACTCAGGCTCCTGGTTTCTTAGAGTGGCAGAAAACCGTGGCGCAGCAGCACCGAGAGCAGCTCCTGTTGGAGGAGCTAGTGTCGCTGGTCAATCAGAGGGATGAGCTGGTCCGGGACCTGGACCAGAAGGAGCGAATGTGAGCCGTGGGACCTGGATGGTTCTGGGAATTGGAGGACCTCAGGGCGCCTCCTGAAATGGCATGTCTGGAGTCTCGGGGAGGGGCTTGCAATTACGGCCAACTTTGAGGCTGACTTGAACCCCCTGTTCCCAGTGCTCTAGAGGAAGATGAGCGCCTGGAACGCGGCCTGGAGCAGCGACGTCGCAAGGTGAGCCGGCAGCTGAGCAGGCGGGAACGCTGCATGCTGAGCTGAACCTCCTGTCTGGTTCTCGCTCTTCTTTTCTCTGGTCATGGACCCTTCCTCGCCAGTCCCCAAGCCTGCACAGCGGAGGACAGAGCCCTCATACTCCTTCAGCGGACAGAAGCAGGGCGGATTGGACCCGCGAACTGGAGCAGTCGAGCCCGCCCGGCAGTATTTATTTATCGAGTGTGTGTGAATGTTTTGGTGGTGGCCAGGATTCCAGGGTGCTGCAGAGAACTCTTCCCCCGTCTACAGAGCGGAGCCTGCCGGCCACCTACATCCTTCCCTTTGTGTCTGGAGCAATAAAGTTGGAGCGCCTGCCCTTTCTCAGGAGGACTTCAAGAGAAGGAAGAGGGTGGGGCTTAGGCTAATAATGCTGTCAATGTGATTCCAGCCCGGGTCAGCCGAGCTTGGAGGTTCACAGATGATGAGGGCCAGAGGGAAAACTCATTTAGAAAGAAAATCTGAAATCACAGGCGTGGTGATGATAAACAGCTATAATAAATCCAGTATTTGGGGTGATGGTGTAGGTAGAACGAGCAGGAATTCAAGGCCAGCCTTAACTATGTTGGTGGTGGCACTTCCCTGGCCCTCTCCACCCCCCAGTTTCTCTGTGTAGCTTTGGAGCCTGTCCTGACACTAGCTCTGTAGACCAGGTTGGCCTCGAACTCACAGATACCTGCCTGCCCCTGCCTCCCAACTGCTGGGATTAAAGGTGTGCGCCACCTCCCGGCTCATATTTTTTTCTTTCTTTTTAAGATTTGTTTGTTTTTATGTTCATTGGTGTTTTTGCCTGCACGTATGTCTGTGTGAGGGTGTCAGAGTGTCAGATCTTGGAGTTACTGTGTGAACTGCCATGAGGGTGCTGGGAATTGAACCCAGGTCCTCTGGAAGAGCAGCCAGTTCTCTTAACCACTGAGCCATCTCTCCAGCCCCTCATGGCACATATTTTTAATCCCAGCACCGGGGAGGCAGATCTCTGTGGATTCAAGGCCAGCCTGATTTACATCATTCTAAAGGGGGAAAAAAATGAAATGGGTCATTCAGATAGCCCAGTGGATAAAAGCTTGAGGATCTGAGTTCAATCCCTGGAACCACCTGAAGGTGGATAGGCGTGAATAAAATCCACAAAGTGGTCCTTTGACCTCCAAACATGCCCTGTGCCTCCACGTGTGAGTGCACACACCCACACTAGATTTTTTTTTTTTTTGGTTGATGTACATGTACTCACACTTTCAACTGTGTTCCCACACAGACTGAGCCCAGAGCCTCTTGGTGCGTGCTAACTAAGCATCCCGTTTAATGTTTTAAATTAACATTATCCCCTGACATCCTGTACCCACAACCACTTCCTGCTCTGCTCCCCAAGCTCTCCTCAGGGCCTCCTGTTCAAAGGCCTCCAGTGTACGTGAGGTATGTGAGTTGAAGATCCACCACCTGATTTGTATCAGCAGGCTGGGGTCTGTTCTGGTGTTGGTGCTGGAATGGTTTGTTCCAGTGCCGGGGGGTCAGGAGGCATGGTGCTCAGAGCCAGCTCATCTTGACCTAGGATGCCATCTTGGTCTTCATCTGTTCTAGAGCCACTGGGGCCAAAGAATTTTATCATGGCACGAACCTGTGGCAGCTCTGAGAAGGTCTCTACCGCTAACAGCATGGCCAGGAGCCCCAGGAGCAAGTAACCTGGGGAGAAGAGCTAGTTAGGGTGGCTCTTAGGGTGCTCCCTGTGCTCCCCACCCAATTCCCAGTGTGATGGCCGCCCCGGCTCTACATGCAGCACCCAACATGGCCCCCGTGCTCTTTGGACTCCAACACTCATTTCGTACTCTAGGATAGGGTCCCTCTCGGAGTTGTAGTCCACGCTCCTCTACCCTCCTCCTTCCAGGACTCACCAAGAAGTGCGAACTGTCCAAGGTAGTAAATGGCTGGATGCAGGCCACGCCCACGGCCGGGCAACAAGTCCCCTAGGCCAATAGTGCTGAGGGAGCCGAAGCAGAAGTAGATGGCCTCCAGCAGGCTGCAGTCACCCTGCATAGCCCACAGCACCAGGGCTGGCAACAGTACAAAGACACAGGCCACCAGGAGCCCCAGTCCTGCTGCTTGGAGCAGGGCAGCCTGGGCTGCTGCCAGCTGCCACCGAACAGCTACCCAAGCAGCCGGAGAATTGAACACAGGCAATAGGCAGTGGCGCAGGGCAGCCACAAGAGCTAGGGAGGCTGGCAGCCCGAGGGCCGCATAGACCACACAGAAGGCCTTTCCGCCCGCAGACAGTGGGGCCATATGGCCATAACCTGGAAAAAGAGAGAGCAGGGGCTGTGAGCTTTTGAGTGGATGCCTATTGGAGTCACATTTTCTTCATCTCCTCCCACAGAAGGCTGCCTTTTGGTACCCAAAATGACATGAACACCAGGCTAGGGTCTTCTTTGCCTGGATGGTGGGCAGGTCCCTTACCCTCACTGGGTTACTGTTGTCTCTTCTGGAAAATTAACCCTGAAGACACTCATTGAGACCTTTTGTGCTGGAACAGAACTGATGTTCTGTCTTTGACAAGTCCTCCCTCTCTCCCTTTCCCTGTCCTTCCGATGGAACCTAGAGAGCCTCGTGCATTCCAGGCAAGTGCTCAGCTGATACACCCCAGCCTGATACCGGCTTCCTGAGGTTTATTAGGGTTTCTCTATGTAACAGTCCTAGCTGTCCTGGAACTCGCTTTGTAGACTAGGCTGCCCTCGAACTCACAGAGATTCACCTGCTTCTGCCTCCCGAGTGCTGGGATTAAAGGTGTGCGCCACCACCACCCGGCTATCAGTTATCTTAATCAGTATTTCCGTATCTTCAACCAGTGGGGTGCCATCTGCTTTCACCCCCATGTATGTATCCTTTCTTTCTATGTGCCGTATCTTGTGCTACTTTGGATCTAAACCTGCCCAGGCCCTGGTTTATGGTGGGGAAAGCAAGTACGGAAACAAGAGGTTCTGAAAATGAACTTTTTGGTATGCATGAGAGACAGCATCTAGAGCCAGAGAAACAGGGGCAGAATAGGAAAAGGTGGGAGAGTGGAGCATGCTGGGAGAACAGGATCAATGGGGTTCACAGGTTGTAAACTCCAAAGCCCATAGGAATCAGATGTCGTGAGGACCGGGTGTGCCAGAGGCAGGCCCCATTCTGCACGGCCAATTGGAAATGAACTTGGAAATACATATTTCACTTTAAAAAGTATTTAGACTAGCCAGGCGTTGGTGGCGCACGCCTTTAATCCCAGCACTCGGGAGGCAGAGGCAGGCAGATCTCTGTGAGTTCGAGGCCAGCCTGGTCTACAAAGGGAGTTCCAGGACAGGCTCCAAAGCTACAGAGAAACCCTGTCTCGAAAAACCAAAAAAAAAAAAAAAGTATTTAGACTATTTACAGGACAACAAAGCAAAACTATAGGACTTTATTTCCCAGTGTCTAGGCACATGCTGTTCTCCTGGCCAGGAATCTCATCAACCCTACTTATTTCTGCACCCTGGTGACTGGCTGCAGCTCACTACTTCCTCTCCTCAGCCTCCTCAGAGGGTGACTGTGTTTCCCACAGCACCCCTCCATCCAAGAACCTCTCCCACCCTGTCGTGTTTTTGTCCTGGCTTCAGGCCTATGTGATCTGGGCTTCTCTTCTGGACTCAGAGTGCATAGGGGTGGGGCTAGGAAGGCCACACCCCTCCTGGCAGCTTAAGTGGAGGCACCAGTTGGGGTGTGTTGTGTGGGGAGCCCCAGTTATGATGTCAGGCCTGATAGAGCCTTGGCTTTGTCTGGAGCCTTGGGATGGGGGAAGGGCTGCACGCTAGGGCTTTCAGGTCTTCTAGATTCCCTGGTGGTGGTTGACCAGTGGTGGTGGCCTACCGGTGGTGGTGAGGATGCTGGCGGTGAACAGCAGAGCTGAGGGCAGGTCCCAGTTGCTTTCCTCTGAGCTGTTTCCCAGGCTGGAAACTCCATGGGCCTGTGCCCTCAGGACCGCACCTAGCAGCTCCTCCAGCGCCTCAGGTGGCAAGCAGGCCCTGTGCTCTGCCTGGAAGGTAGACAGCTCAGCTTGGAGCTGGGCCTGGAGTTGCAGTGCTGGAGGACCCTCCAGGGCCTGAAGCACCACAGCCCCGAGGCCCATGGCCAGCAGGTGGGCTACAATCAGGAGCAGGTAGCGGGCCCAGGGCTTCAGTCTCCCCATAGCATGGCACTGAGTCTGGGGCTGTAAGGGAGCTGCCTAAGTCACCACCGGGGAGGGGTTGCAAAGGGCGTGGCTGGGAGGAGGTGCTGCGTGGGTAGGTGGCTGAGCAGGGTGTGAATGGAGGGAGGTGAGTCTGAGCACTCCCAGTTTCTGGCGCAAGACATGGCAGCCTGGCACTGGGGATGGGTGGAGGAAGGTAAGAAGATCGATCTTAGCCTGGAGAGGGCCTCACAGCGACTCAAAGTCACAGTTCCTCAGTGTCTGCTTCATTTCACTCACTCAAACACCAGGGAAGATGGCAGACACAGGTTTCTCCCCTCCTGCTGCTCACACAAGAATCTGCTGAGAAACCACCAGGGAGGGCAAGCTTCTCAGCAAAACTCTTTGAAGGAAGTACTATTTCAACCAGAGAAGAAGACAGTTATGAGCTGGGCCATGGTGGTGCATGCCTTACCACAGCCTTCAGGAGGCAGAGGCAGGCCTGAGTTTGAGGTCAGAGTAGTCTACAGAGCGAGCTCCAGAGCAGCCAGAGCTACACAGAGAGCCCCTGTCTTTATAGAAAAACAAAGCGAAGCCAGCTCCGGCACTGGGAAGATGGTTCGGCTGTAAGGAGCACTTGCTGCTCTTCCAGAGCACCTGGGTTTGATTCCTGGCACCTACATGGCAGCTTCCAATTGCCTATAACTCTAGTTCCAGGGGATCTGACCCTTCTTCTGGCCTCCTCCAGTACCAGGCACACTTGTAGTGAAGACATACATGCAGGCAAAACAACCATATATATAAGCATACAGGGCCGAGTGTGGCACACACCTTCAAACCCTGCATTTGGGAGGCAGAAGGGCAGATCTCTTTGAGTTTGAGGCCAACCTGATCTACATAGTGAGTTCCAAGACAGGGCTACAGCGTAAGCCTGTCTCAAAATTAATAAAATTAAATAAAAAAAATAAAGTAACAAAAAAGTCAGTCATAGCAATCAAGAGACTAACCACAAGGAAAGATTTGAGGATAGAGGTCTTTGAGGACAGTGGATGGGGAAAGACGATTCTATGGCATTCTGGGTGGAACAGAGGTGGCCTAGGCAGAGGGCAGAAAAGAGTTGTGAGATTTAGATGGAAATAGTTGGGGAGAAAACGAGGTAGGAGCCCTCTGGACAGGTGATGCTGCCAAACTTCCTGTCCCAGCTCTTGCGAGGATCTCCTTGCCTGGCCAGACTGCAGACCAGGAATGGCTGCCATGTGTAATGGGGAGGTTCACTCATAAACCATAGAGGGGCCCTGGCCTAGGGAATGGGAGGTTCATTCATAGACCATAGAGGGACCCTGGTGGAAGTGGGTGAGACAGAACCTCAAAGTAGTGTCAAAAATGCCAAGGCAGGTCACCATGATACTCCGTGGGCACATTTATTCTGTCTGCATCCAGGCCATGGACTAGAGGCAAACCTAGGACATACCATCAAAATGTTTCCCAGAGGGCTACGGGCATGAATCTACCTTGGCTGGGGAAAGTGTGACCTGGGCATTGTCCTAGAGGTGATGATATTGTAGTTGGGCCCAGGAGACAGGCAGGGACCAGCCAGCAGCAGGGAGCAGGACAAACCCTCACCTGAATGGTAGAAATGGCTCAGGTAGAACTGTGGCTGGATGAAGCCTGGCCATGGTGGGAGAAGAGATGAGATCAGCATGTGTAAAGTTAGGGAGCTGAGATGAACCCTTACTGGTTACCAGGATGGTGGGCTTGGCCCTAGGAGAGGCGTGCGGTACAAGGCATTCTAGATTGGTCTCAGGCAGTTTATCTGCCCATTGCTTTAGGGGCATGAAGGAAAGGATGCTGGATTACCTTCAAGAAGGGTGACAGACTGCATTTGGGGATACAGCTTACGAGTTTATTTGGCTTCATTGGCTCCCCAGACCAAGGTCCCAACCTTGGCTGGGGCAGCAGAGAGGCACCCAGAGAGCCCCGGCTCTTACAACCTCCAGGGTAGGGGGTCCAGGAACTAGGCCTTGGGGACAGGGGCCACAGTAACAGGACTTGGTCAAAAGTGCTGGTGACACCTGAGGTCGGCCCCTCTCCCCTGTACCTCCCTCTCCTCCCTGCACCACTCCTGGGGGCAATTCCCTGAGACAGGCTCTGGTCCTCCCAACCAGTTAGGTACAGTGTCAGGCCCCAGTGGGGCAGGTAAGTCAGGTTGTAGGCATGTGGGGTGTAGCCCCCCATCCAGTGTGAAGGCTTTCTGTGCAGTGTAGTGTTCCTGACCCCCACAAGGGGTCAGGGTCCCTGGGAGAAACCAAGGCAGCCACAGAGACCTGCCCTGCTCCTCTTCCAGTGTATGCTATGCCTCCTTTAAGGCAGCTGGAGCATGGGGGTGTGGCCTGGCCCACTCAAGGTCCTGCTTCTGGTGCCCATGGGGCCTGAGCACCTATGTCTTTGGTCTGCGTCCTGCAGTCCTGGGAGCCTCCCCGGAAGGGGTTGGCAGGTGGGGAGTCCCAGAAGGGATCTGAGTCTGGGAATAAGGTCCAAGGTGCCCGTCGGGGCACAGGCTGTGGAGAGGGCAGGGGTGAAGGCCGTGGCCCAGCTGATACAAAGCTCCATGGGTCAATACGGCTACGGAGTGGTGAGGGCCGAGGTCGGCTGATGAGGCCCAAGGGTGGTGATCGAGGGGTTCCAGGGGTACCAGGAGCCGAGCGTGATATTCCTGGTGGGGGTGAGACAGTTCTTCCTGTGGAGTTTTGAAGGCGTACGTGGTTAGACATCTACTAATTCCTAGGTTTCCCCTGAAGGCACTGCCCTGCTCTGGCCTGAGCTTCTAGAGCTATAAGGCTCTTCATGTTCCATGATGTGTCTGTTCAGTACAGTGTTTCAGAACCAGGCTGTCCTAGACCCCTCTGGGCTGGGCGACTTACTAGCTGTGGGAGCCCTGAGCTTTTACAGCTACATCTCTGTATTCCCGAACATTTCCTCATCTAAGCTGGTCAGACAGCTTGGTTAACGGTGCCTGCCTCCAAGACTAACGACCTGGGTTCAAACTCTGGAACCCAGGTGGAGGAAGGAGAACCGGTTCCTGAAAGCTGCCATCCATATTTGCACTTTGGCATGTGTATCCCACAATGAATAAATGTAAAAATCAATGGGTTTCCTCAGCCAGCCTAGCATGTGGTGTACATCTGTCCCCGCAGAACTTGGGATGCTGAGACAGGAGGGCTGGGAGTTGAGGCCAGCCTGGGCTACATAGGTAGACCCTGCTTCAAACAATCGAACAAAAATAATTCATCTAAAAACTGGGTAAGAATGTTTGATATGAGGCTGGAGAGATGGCTTAGAGGTTAGGAGCACTGGCTGTTCTTCCAGCATTTAGGTTCAATTCCCAGCACCCACATGGCAGCTGACAACTGTCTGACTCCAGTTCCAGGGGATCAAGAACCCTCACACAGACATGACACCAGCCAATCAATGCACATAAAATAAAAGTAAATTAATTGAAAAAAATGCTTGATTCTAATTTAATGTAATAACCTCTCTACAGAACGGTTATAGTACTTGGCCCAACTAATCAACAGGAGTCTGTCACCATTAGGAGGGTCCCGTTTCTTCACAGCTGAACCTAGAACTCTGTCAGTAGGCCCAGGGCCTAAGGGTCTGGTTTTGGGTTCCCTAGTCACTCCCCGCTTCTCAGATGGTTCAGTCTTAGGGACACTCACCACGTGTCTCTTCCCGCCGAGGGCTCTTGGCTGATGGCTGGCCAGAGGGAACACCTAGGTCCAGCAATAAGGGTACAGGGGTGGGTGGGCCACGGGCATCAGGTGTTGTGGGTGACAGACGGATGAGCGGGGTGGAGGGCGGCTCGGCTGGGCAGGGTGAGGGTATCTGTGCAGGGGGCGGTGCTGGTGGGGGCTCCCCACGTTCACGGCTCAGGCCTCCTGGAGGCTGCAGGTCGCGGCCGAGACCCAGAGAGGCCAGCAGAGCAGTGCCCCGCAGCAGTGCGCGTTGGATCAGCTTGGGAGTCCCGGAGCTATTGCCCCGCTCTGTGGGTCCAGGCCGCCGCGCTTCCTCTGGCTCTGGGCTAGGCCGTGGAGGGTTACCTGTGGGCAGCAGTGACACAGGTCAGATCGAGGGGAGTACATCTGCTGGGTGAGCATCCTGGGGATCCCTCAGTGGCCTTGGAACAAGAACCAAGTTTTGTGTGTAGAGCAGAACCTGGAACCTCCCCATCACACACATTACACTCTGCCAAAGGGAAAGGGTCTGGGGCAAAAACTGGAAGCAGCTGATACAGAAGCTGTCTTCCAAGCAGAACAGCCCATTCCTCAGAGTAGCTGTGACTTCCTGCAAGGGACCCCTCCTGATCTTAGGCGCTCTCTCTCCTAGCCAGCTGTCCTCAAAGACATCATCAAAGCCCTCCCTGCTCTAATCCCTTGTCCTTCCCTCTTTGTGCCAGACCAGCAGCTGAACAGACTAGAGATATGGGTTGGCTAGAGAAAGAAATATAGGCTAGGAAATGAGAACTTCTGCTGTGAACAGGATTTAGCTTGGAGTTCTCTTGGCCCAGGGAACTTCTTTTTAAAAAATACTTTATTTGTATGAGTATTTTGGCTGCACGTACGTCTGTGCACTACTGCACCTGCCTGGTGCTTGCAGAGGCCAGTAGAGGGCAATGGATCCCTGGGAAGAAAACAGTAAAAGAAATGTAAAAAAGAGTTGGGTGGTGGCAGCGGCAGTGCTGGCGCACGCCTTTAATCCTAGCATTTGCGAGGCAGAGACAGGCGGATCTCTGTGAGTTTGAGGCCAGCCTGGTCTACAAGAGCTAGTTCCAGGACAGGCTCCAAAGCTACAGGATTTTCAATCCTGTCTTGAAAACCAAAACAAAAAAGCAAAACAAAAAGGTAAAAAAGAATCTAAGGGCTGGAGAGATGGCTCAGAGGTTAAGAGCATTGCCTGCTCTTCCAAAGGTCCTGAGTTCAATTCCCAGCAACCACATGGTGGCTCACAACCATCTGTAATGGGGT